AATATGGTTTGATTGCCATCCGCTGGGGGGAAAATATGCTGCAGTGGTACTTGATTGAAGAGTTGCTATTGAGCGATAACGTACCCGTGTTGATCGTGCTGTGCTTTTGGCATAATATCCCAGAGACTGTCAGCCTCAGCCCAGATGTTTGCTCAGACATTTTTGTACTAACAGGAATTGTCTGGTTCTTGTTGTGAGTCATGATTGCAGTGATATTGAAAGCTGGAGAGGAGTGGACTTGGGGACAGAAAGGGGGATACAAGGCTTTGTTGTGCTGCTGGGACGATGCTCAGCACATTGCAAACCTGCTTCAGGCAGGGCCCTGAAGGGTGGGATCTGTGTTCTGGATGTTTCTAAGCTGCCCCTATTCCAGTGGCTTTTGCACATTGGATGTATGTGTGCTGAGACCTCACACCAGAGCAGCACATGTCTCTCTGGAACAGCTCCTTGCCCTGGCTCTGGTTCACCGTGTAGGGTATTTCCATGAAAGCTTTTCATGGTAAGGTGGTATCATTTATGTGTAACTGTAGTGGCAGAAGACAATTCAAAGTGGGCTTTTGGAGTGCACAATATGACAGGACCATGTGAGCTGAAGCCAGTGCTGTGCACTGGGAGATGTCAACTACTCCAAGGCTGAAGATTAATTCTGCTTCAGTGTCACCCAGTGCTTTGCTTTCTTCTGATTTTGGTGTCTGTGCAGCACACTTCAGCAAACAGTAAGACTTGAGAAAAGCAGTAAGTTATGCAGCCAGAGGATTGAAGTAATACCCTGATGTTTGAGCAGTCACTGGCGATATGAAGGTCTGCATAAATGTTTTGAGGGCAACGGTGAGGAGGATTTGCTAAAATGAAAATATAGTTTTGGGCCAGAGTGGCATAAACGTTTTAGTCCCACCCACGTGTGCCACCTTCTGATCAAAACTTTACAAGGAAGAACAAAACTCACATTTCATTTTCTGCTTTGTGTGTTTTTAAATAAAAGAATCACAAAATGAAGGGAGGATATCTCTAGTATCCTTCATAAATTCTGGGACTTTCCCTGCTCACAGTCTCCTCTGCAGTGATCCCTGGTGAGTCTTCATTGTGGAGAGTGGGGAGCAGGGAGAAAAAGACATGTGCCCATGTCCCAGGAGGGCCTGAGGCTTTCCAGGATGGTGTCCAGAATATGCTTTGTAACCTGGAAGGGGAAGAGACAGGCCCCTCCTGCCAACAGTGGAACACCAAATCTCTTTGGTTTTGTTGGACTTGTCACTGTTCATAAATAAAACAGTGCCATGTGCATTTCAGTGTTTCATCCACTAGTTGTAAAAGAAATGCTTCTTCCTGACCTTCAAAAATTTGGGAAGGTAAAACCATCTAAGTGATGCAATTTTCCTTTTGGCCCTCTAGGGCAATAAGTGAATTAATGTGTTTGATGCGTCTTTCTGTGGATTCAGCAAAAACTACTGCCAAAGGAAGTTGGATGCAGATCAAAGTTGATGCTAAAAGTGTCAGGAATTCTTGGAGCATCTCCTTCAGCAGCCTTCTTCACCCCATCTTCAGTGAGTTTTTTAGCCATCATTATGTTATGTGAGTCCCCCATGGTTGTCAGGCTGTTTTGTTGAGGTTGGTTTGTTTTTAAGCTATTTCCAGACTAAGACCCCTAGAAGCCTTAAAAATGAAGCTCTCCTTTTGGAAACAAACCCCAGCAGACTGGGATCCTGGGGTGGTTGCATAGGGCTTATTGGGAGGCTGTCTGATGGACTGAAGTTAGACACCGTTAAGGTTTCTAGAAGGAAAGAGAAAAATATATCCCTAAAATACATGGCCATGATGTACTTACTAATTATTGATGTTACATTGGATGACTTCTTTCTTCTATTAAGAAATTGAAAGAGGTGAATATTAATGGAGGGATATATAGGATCCTGGGATTCCTGTTTAAAAGACAATTTAAGGCAGAGCTCCCAGTCTGATAATGTGAATGTGGGCATGTCTGTGTGCCCAGAGGAAGCTGCAATATGAAAACTGTCACCAGATTTGTTCTGATATCAGTTCACTCAGCTCTGTGATGAATACCATACATATGTAATATCCTCAATCTCACACATGAGTTCATAACTGTGCTGCCAGTCTAAAAGTGCAGGAATTGTGAAGTTATTTTTCCCAGAACAATTGAATTCCTACTGACTTGGGTGTTACTGCTTTTACACCCTTTCAGCCTGTCCAACAAAGAGGTTTGCAGTCTGATAGCAATATATAGCCTTTACTGTAATGGATGCAAGAGTGCACCAGAGTGACAGAATTCTTAGAATTTGTATTCCCTGATTCAAATAGATGGATTTATTTTCATATAGAATGAGCTTTCAGTGTGAAGAAGTGGAAGACTATCTGCTGCTCTCCCTGGACAGATATGCCACCCCCAGGGCCAGTCTGGCTGCTCCTTTCTGAAGCACATCTGAGAAGCAGTTGCCCATTGGGCAGGGGAGAAGAGTTGATGAATATTTTTGATTTTTTGTGTCAGTTTTTAGATGTAAGTGGGTTTAAATCGGAGTTCTTCATTTAACATCAACAGAAGCATCTGAAAATCTTGCTGGTGCATTTTATTTTATTCTTTAAAGACAAAAAGAAAAATACCATGCCATTGCTGAGCAACCCACCATTTATCTAGTGTGTGTGCTTCAGAGAAAGAGTTACTAAAGTATAGAACTGATTTTGATACTGAATGACTCCAGCTGAAATTTGATGGTTCGAAACCTGCCTCTTTTGTATTAAGCTGAACTTTCAAGTTCCTTGCCAATAACAAGTAATTGGAAAGGAGAGCTGTAAAACCAGTTAACCTTCTTAGCTGTTACGAGGAAGCCACCAGGCACAAGCACAGGATGCAGTGGGGAAGAAGGAAAAAGCTGCAGGGATTCCTAGGTTGGTAAATTCCTGCTAAACCTCAAGAAAGTAATCTGGCCTGAGTTTGAATGTTACAAATCCATGGGGAGTCTAGCTGATAGATGTCTGTCTCTGTTTTGAGACATGTACAAAAGTAAGTTTTGCTCTAGCTTCTCAAGAAGAGTAATAACTCCCAGTTTTTTTCTGTGCTGACTGGTGGTTTCTGTTTGGTTTTATTATTTCTAGCTGAAATTCTGTGATGTTCCCAAGATCAGGGTTCATGCTGGCTCCCATGATACCACTTCTTTCTTAGGCTGGGTAAGGACAGGATTGCAGGTCTGTGTCCTATAGAAATCCAAGTACCCAGAAATCCCACTTCAAATATATGTAGCTGTCGCCCCACTTTTGCAAAAGAAAAAAATAAGGACAATTTAATTTTTTAACTTGTACCTGTTATTATCTCAACCAGCCAGTTGTTTATGAATGGTAATGGAATGTTACTATTTTGTCATCTGTGGGCATTAAACATTTGCTAATTACTTCTCTACTAAGGGTATCAGTGCCTGCATGTTATCTGCCTTTCAATTTTTAAATTTCTTCTCTTAATAAAGTCCTAAATGAGTTATTCCTGCTTGCATAGGTCTGGGAGGCTGAGCTGGCTCCACTCTTGGCCATCTGAGCCTTTCTTGAAATATGGAAGTTTATAAACAGGATGAAAAATATTCCTTTCTTCATTTTCAAGTCTGCCAATTTTCAAGGCAGGCAATGTAAAAATGTGGGTGGAGAAGTGGACGTTTTCAGCAGGATTCAGAGGAAGGGAAAAACAGGGTGGTGGATTCTCATCTGGGAAATAGAAAATGTTGGGTGTGTGGCAGCACAGTTTCAGGAATTTATGCCATCAGTGTTAAGATCCTTTTTGGTCAGAGATCAAATATCTGTTGATGAAACTTTGTTTTGCAATTTTCTATTTTGCTGTATTTTGTATTTCAGGCTTTCCTCTGATCTCAGAACTGGCAGCTGACCTTTTCTTACTTTTTGTCAAAAAAATGTCTCCTTTCAGGAGTAAAAAGTAAAAAATTTAGCACTCTTAAATGATCTGTTTTGTCACAATGGTTTCTAGGATTTATGCTTCTTGGATTTTTGTTAGAACAGAGAAAAATATACACCTCTCTTTAAAATTGAATGTAATTTGGCTTGATTTAGCCTGGCTTTTGCTTTAATAAAGAAAAAAATATATATTATATAAGCTCTACAACAGATGAGATTTGTATCTTTGGTCTTGCATATTTATTTTCTCCACATGAGGGAACAAATAGAAAGTTGAATACCACCCTGAATCCTAGAACATAGTTTGACTGACAAATATGTTGCTGCTGCTGGAGCATCTTTTGATGGGAGGATAACCTCATTGTGGAAGGTTTTATATGTATTCTGGTGTATTTGTGGCATTTGATACTGAAAAATAACATACATTTTTTTCAGCACCAAATGCAACAGCATTAATTTAACCACTTGCCAGGAGTGGAATGACTGTGATCCAGTGTACAAACATTGCAAAATCAAATTATATATTTCATGTCTACTGAACGCAAGCATAATTGAAAACTTGGTTTTTTTATGAACTTATTGTTTACTGAGCACTTTTTGCTACTTTTTCATAACCTGGGCTCATGTCTATCATCTGGATTAATTTTCTTCATGATAGTCAGTGTTTGTGCATGGGGAAAGCTGCAGGTCTGTGTTGCAGTGTGGAGAGAGAGAGAATTTAAAAGCGTGCTTTGCAATGCATCTCTTATGTACCTGAGCTGCCAGAGTCTGGCAGCAGATCGTGACACCTGCTTGGTTTGGGAAGATCCCTGCAGTGTGGTACCTGGATCCTCCGTTCTGCTTTTAGTTCTCCTGTGTGCACGTTGCTGAACACGGATGGCTTTAAGGATGTAAACTGAAGGGGGCTGCTTGGGTTAGTCAGTCACTGGCAGTGCTCCTCTAATTGCCAGGGTCCTGCTGCCTTGTGGCTCCCACTGGCACAGAGAATGGCCAGGACATTTTCTTCTGGTATCCAGCACCTGGATTAATCTGGTATTAATCCCTCTTGACTGTTCATAAATTAAAATACATTATTTGGTTTTGTTTTGCAGCTTGCCTGATTTCTGCAGAGACCTGAGGGGGTGCTGGTGCTTCAGAGCTTGGTGCTCTTGTACAGTGCTCTTTCCACCAACAAGCTGGGAAGAGTAAGTAAATCTGCTCTATAGCTGGTGATCCTCTAGGGCGGGGGCAGTCTTTATGAACCTTTCTTGTCCCACATCATAAACTGAAGTTTCAGCACAGAGACTGGAGGTACCTGTATTTCTATGCAGTATTTGCTTTGTGTTTATCACAATGTTCATGAACAGGGGTGGTCCAGTTCTTCTAATACTCCAGCAAGAGTTCTTGGTTTATCCATTTTTTCAGATTAGCTGTACTGCAACTTGCTCTGCCACCTGATGCAGGATAAAGAGGTACTCAGCAGAGGTGTTTCACAGTAGTGCTGTTCCTCTGTGGTGTCAGTAATGCAGTTAATGCAGACACCTTTGCTGGATATCAGTGTTCTGTGCAGTGCAGAAGTGCAGTCTCCTGTGATGTATCCAGATGGTTCTCTGTGGGTCTTGGAGTGGGGGGAGGCCCACAGCTGGATTCAGATGCAGGGTGGTTGTGTCTCTGTCATTTAACATCCAGAAAGGCTGTCCATATCTCAGTATGCTACAGATGGGTTTCAAATACTTTTTCACTTAAGTAAAGCTACAAATCCTGCATAATATGGTTTGTTTGTCTCTTGTCTTTGGAGGGCTTTCTAGTCTCCATGGCAGTTAGAAACAGCTTTGGCTTGAAATCCCAGTCTTCAAGCAGTAGGTGGGTTCTGCTGTGCTCACTGCTTTCTTGGAAGGGTAGAACACAGGGAGTTTAGATTACATCATTAAGATGCAAACAGACAGAATGGATAAACTGGGAATTTTTGTCTTGAATAATAATACAAAGTCATTCTCTTACTTTTCAGTATTTAATGAAGGATACCAGCAAGATCTAGAAGGTGGTAGGTTTGGGTTTTGTTTTTCTGTCTGGACAGTTGACAAACTTTTGGGGTTTAGCATATACATCAGTTTGGAAAGAGAAGTTGTAGCTCTTCACACTAATTGAGAGCTGGCAAATGCTGATATTACAACATTTTTCTGGAGAATCTGGTTCTGCTTTGTCTCAGCTTCCGATTTTTGCATCCGTTCTTGGACAGGCTGCAGCAGTGCTGTGTTCATTCCTACAAGATACAAGGAAGATGAAAGTAGAAAGGAGAGTAGTAGTGAAATGCTACAACAGAAAACCCAGCTGTGCTGGCAAACCTTCCCACAAAAAGCAAAAGCACAGTGGCATCTCTAACTTCAGAAGAAATAAGTACTTTCTCATTTAGAAATACTGTTTTTACCAGACAGTCAGCTCTGAAAAATACTTTTCATGGATCTTGGTGCAAATGAGGCTCAGAATATATGTCTGAAATACTGCCCTCTTGGTTCAGGCTTCAGGCAGATCTGTGTTTCCCAGTGACGATTGCTTTGATCTCGTAATGCCTTTGCACTCCCACAGCTCCTTAGCTTGCCAGGCTTCCTTCTGGCACACAGCCCAACCTGCTGCAGCCCCAGAGGCTCAGAGCACCACAGTTCTTCTTTTTTAATGCGCAACATTACTTCTAACTTAACAAATCCTTACCAATGAGCAAGTAAAATTGAGATTGTTAACTGACACCAGCTCAGATAGCTGCACTGAGTGAATGAACTGTATTTTTAACAAACTTTCAAGTGCTATAGACAGTGATTTCCTTTGTGTTAAAATATATATGGGGCTTATACACAGTTATGCACAGATGTTTTCTGTTACTGCTTGGTGAACAAAGTCTGCATTAAGATAATGCAGAATAAATATAAAAAGCATGTGTGCTTTACTGAGAAAGTATGTATCATCTGTGCAGGGGACCATGAATGTTTTGAATTCAGCTTGCTCTATGTGATCGGGCTGCAAAAGTGCTGAAATGCTAAATTTCAGGAAAAACATGCTTTTGATGAGTTAGGGTCTGCATAATAAACCCTTGAACAGTAGGAATTTTGTTCAAGTGATTAACAGTGGTGATATGCTCCAGAACAGAGTGGGAAATAATAGCATCCATCCTCCAGTGGTGTATGGGAACCTCAACTAAGCAGGTGGGTGGCACAGTACCTGGAAAGGATGACCAAGAAAAAGAAAAGCCCTCATGGAAGACTTCTCAATTATGGAGAAGAGGGAAAGCATCCAAATCAAAACCTGCTAGGGGAGAAATTAGAAGCACAAAGGCAGCCAGAAAGCATACAGGGCTGAGAAATGCAAGCAAGAATGTCTGCGTGCAACAAGAATTTGAGTCCTGAGAATTTGTTGGAGGGAGAAATGATGGAGTTGCCAGATTTTTTGAGCAGGACAGGACTTTCCAGATATCTGAGCATATCAGGTCCAAGTGTGGTAAAACCACAGAAAATGCAGCATGGCTGGCATGCAGGCAGGACATCCTCTTGTCTGCGGGATTGTGCTTGTCTTTCTGGTTCCAAGAAAACTTTAATCGTGCTCCAGCAAGTGGAGATGATGGGCGAGTGAGTTGTTTGGAAAGCAGGGTGGCTCTCTGCCTCTCAGCAAAGGCAGGTGGAGGAGACAGCTCCTTGATGTGAGCACAGCCAGACAAAACTGAAAGGATGGATAAGGTCCCTTAGCTACTAAGGCTCAGGAAAAAACCTTCCTGAAATGAAAATACCTATTCTTAAAAACTGTTGGTAGTTATTCGATGAAATTAATGGTTAGGAACTGTTGATGACCTTCAAAAAGGTCAAACATGCAATGATATAAGAGATGTGGCTAGTAGATGATATTGTGCTTTCTCCAAGAGGCAGAAAGACTGACTTGAGAGATCGATGTCCAATAGCTGTTCCTAGTACAGAAAATGAAAGTGCAGTCTCTGTAGGTATTTTCAGAAATCAGCAGCACAACTTCCTAATGGCCTGGCTGGCACTTTGCTTGCTTGTTTGAATTGTGTCTTGCTACTGTTGTCCAATAGGTGATGCTGCCAGTCACTACTTTGAATGCTGGCAAAGTGAAAAACGATAAATTTGCATTATATATGTAAATATGTACACAGAATTTGTGTGCATATTCAATTGTGATTTCCTAAAATATGCCATCCATCAGCCTTACAGACTGATTTTTAATTTTTTTCCCCCCCTAGATTAGCTTCTTTCAGTGTCTGAACCCTTTGCTGTAATGGATCTGTTCTGTATAGAACCTGTGGCCTGTATGTGCTTTTAAAACAATGCACAGCATTCCTCTTACGCATTCCTTAGCAGACCTGTTTCCTGGTATTCAAAGCAGGACTTGGAAGGTAGGATTGTGTTGTTTGTCAGAATATCACACAGAGAGTGCTGTAGTGTGATTTCTTGAGTAGCTGTCCCCTGAGAAACATCATGCAATAACCTTTTCTTTCCCCACACTGTGTGCAGCTGTTCCTTGAAAGTGTTGAGTGATGTAGTCAGTCACACTTGGATGACTTCTGTAGCTAATTTGCAGTCATCTCCTTTTTTCATATCCTTTTTCTTGGGTATGTGAAGGTAGGTTGTACAGTCTGTTTTATGATATTATAGCAGCCAATATGAATGTACCTATATTTATATTTGAACACAAATGTATTCATAGCAAATGTTGCTTGTGGTGAACCAGGGAAGGTCAAGGAGTCAGCTGATCTCTCTAAGCAGCAACATGCTTGAAAAAATAAATTTGGGTGAAACACAACATATCTTTAATGGCCATTAATAGTATGGAGGTTGGATGGTGAATTGTTTGTTCTGAAACAAAAGGGAATTACTTCAAGCAAACTGGATTCTGTGTGCCAGCTGCATAGACATAACTCCTGGGTTGACTCACTCATTGAAAAAAAAAAAAAACAAGTCACAAAGACCAGAATTTACTTTGTCTTTTGGGTTTTTTTCATAATATCAAAACATGAATACAAGCAAAATTAAAGCAGTCATAAAACCTGAGAAATGTGGAAAAGTTGCAAGAAAAGCTCAGTAAAGAAAGTGGTTTAGGAAGATGACAGCCTCAGTTGAAAGTCACGGCATCTTTCCGTGATGACATATGTCCTCATTATGTGTGGTGATGAGTAGCTGGTAGCTGTCACTACAGCTCCTAAAAGCACTTGGCCTGAGGTGAAGTGCTTCCAGGTGCTCCCTGGGTAGCAGATATGCAGTGGTGGTGCTCAGGTTTTGTTTCCATGGCTCTCTGTAACTGCTGCAGCGTGGGGATGGCCACCTGAAAGGAATCAGGGAAGATTATCAGGAAGGGACAAAAAGTCTTCAGGCAGAGCTATATCAAATGATTTCTTGAAGAGAAGCTATAAGGCTGTATGTCCATTTGTGTATATGCAGTTTTAAATTTAACTGTAAAGATGGAAATACCACTATAAAGTATTTTTAAAGCAATTTTCCAGTATAATAGTATGCAAAAAAAACCACAGAAAGCTGTTAAGGAACACATTTGTTACAAAACAAATGTGAGCCAACAGATTAAAAACTAATATGAAGACTTGATCCGACTTATCAGGTACATTGAGGTTTAACTCAGATTTGTGTGGAGTTGTGGATATCTAAGTTGTGTACAGTTAAAAATAAAACCAATTCCAAACTGTACATGTATGATACGTGGATTTTTCAAAAGGAATGTTTGAGAACTCCTTCCATTTTGTTTATCAGTCTCATGGATGTATATGGAAAATAAGGTTTTCAGATGCTTTAGCTATGGGATTTGGATAGCAGCAAGGTTGGTCACATTTCTGTAAGAGTTCCCTGGGCTTGCTGAGGAGCAGAAATCCCTCTGAGGTTCACCTCTGTGAGTGGATGTGTTGAAAGAAACGGGAGGTTTCTCTGGCTAGTCTGGTCACATTTGAAAGATGGTTCTTAAGGAAAAACAAAAGTAAACAAAAACCAACAAACAAAAACACAGAAAAACCCCAAAACCAAACCCAAGCAGCATCTTCATTTGTCTTGATCTGGATATGTCTTCACTGGTACATACAACACAATATCACTATTATTTTATGGAGCAGTTCGACTTCACTTACTGTGTGACACTTCTTAATTAACTTTTGATAGTTGGCTTTAGTCCATCTTGTAAATCTTGGAAGTTCACTTTTTATGCAGTAACTGATGAAACCTTTGCTATAATGAGAATCTATGTTGTCTTTTCCACTGAGATTTATGGAGTTTTAAAACGTGATATTTAAAAATGATCATACCTTTGGGTCCTGACCACCACAAAGAGTGGTTTGCTCCCAAAGTGGGCACACTACCTTAGGAGAACCGTACTGCACTTTAGCTCAGCTATTTGAAAGCATGATTGTAAGGTTTGGGAGTTTAATTTTTATTTGTTAGGATTTTTTCTTACAGTGTGGTGCAGAAGGCCCTGATTAATACTGTGGTGCTAGGTAGAGAAGTCTCAGCCGTAGACATTTGATATAATTTAGTGAGGTTGCTTTGGCACAGTGTATTCCTTTTAGAAAGACAACAATGCATTTATGAAAAATGAATATTCTTGCAGTTTCATTCATACTGATCAAAGTCTGACACAAACCATGGAAAAGAATTGTAAATACTGTCTTCTGGTTACAGTCTGTTTTCCCCTCAGACTAATTTTTTTTTTTCTAATCCTTGCACAGGGTAAAAGTTATGTTCTGTTGTAAAGACTGTTCTATTATATTTATTATGAATTAAAAATTTGGTCCATTTGGGGTGAGGAGAGACTTAATTTTTTTTCAACTAATAAATATGTATTATTAGTTTTATTCCTATAGAACAGGAGAGGAGAAGCAGCCATCTGCAGGTTTTCTACTTGCACAACTTTACAATGTGTTGAGCTAGCAGGCCACAAAAAACACTTGTAAAGGTCTGTTTGACCCATGGCATGGAGTTATGCCATATTGTCCTGCAAAAGAAATGCAGGGATTTTTGAATGAATGTTAATTTTACTGCATACCACTCACTTTTCTTCTTAACAGCCAGAATTCTTTTAGTGGCAAGAGTACTGTCTCATTGATTCACTGAACCTTCCCCATTGAGGGGAGTTGAACAGTTGTCAGCACTGATTAGGAAAACAACAGAGATCTTTACCTGTTGTTTGGACTGTCAGGTATGCAGCCTCACACGTGTCTATTTCAGAAGAAATCTACAAAGGCTGTGTGGCAATGCTATGCAGTTGTATTTAAAGTCATTTTAAGCTCAGGCTGCCATGGTCCCATTCTTTCCACTTCCTCTCACTAGCTACCAATACTTGGGCAACCACCATGAGCCATTTTAGGAGCCTAATCTGACTGAAAATGCATCTGTATATGGAGTTTTTAGCTGTGCTGGTTCCCAGACCAGCTCACCAGATAATTGCATGGATGCCAGTATATATAAAAGGCTTATCCAATTCAGGAATATGCTAATGTTGTGTTCAGTAAGGGAACTGACATGCTTGAAGATTTGGGGAGATCTCCCAGTTTCAGTGCAGTGCTATTTTGTCTATGTCCTGATATTTCTCTTTATTTCCTGGAAAGAATAAGCTTGTGCTTGTAGCTGCAGTCTGAGATATTAAAAATCCTTAATGAATAAGGAAAAACACACCTCAGAATTTGCTGCTATTCCTTGTGTTTCCAGCAAGGGAGTAAATGAAATAAGAGGGAATGTATCTTAACCAATGATGTAGTTAACAATCAATATATTGATATATTGATATAAATATAATATGGGAAGATAAAGGCTATTCAGGTAAACTAAGAAAAAGGCAAAGCTGAAAAGCAACTGCAAGTCATATTTTGGTACAAAACCCTACACCACAGGAAAAAAACAATGGGACTTAATTTTAGACTAAAACATTTTATACAAGTAATTTAACAGTATTTCAACTAAGACTTTGGATTTGTTATTCCAAACTGACTGTAAGATGTGCCATGCAATTTTTTGTTTGCTTAGGGTTTTGATAGTGCAAGAGAATTGATACATGGGTTAATAGCCTGCATTCCTGTAAAGACTGCTGGATAAAACACAACAAAGCAGTGAGTGTTCTGTGGCACAGATAAGTTTTGCTTCTACAGTAAAGGGTTCATAAATGATTGCTTAATGATTGCTTCACAAAATTTAAGACAAACATTGTTTTTAAATCTCACCTACTGACTTTCTCTATTAAAAGCCAATAGCAAGCTCTTTCTTGCAGTGTTTGTTTTTCTCTGCCATGGGCCAGAAGAAGCTACTGTATGACCTGAGATTTCTTTGTGTCTCAAAATTTATGTGAGCTTATTAATGGAGGCCAACCACCAATAATAAATTTGTGCTGCATGTATAGCACAACAGTTCATCTCCTCTGACTTCATGACTGAATAATTTATAGATGTAGTTATCCTGGAATTTGTAGGGGTTATTAGCATTTTAATGAAAAAGATACAGCTGTTGTACTAAATCTTCACTTTTTTTTTTTTTTTTTTTTCTTTTCCCTCAGTTGAGAATTTTGATCTGTACTTTGGAAGCAGCTGACAGCGTGTGGTAATGTGCTGACTGGCACTATGGGCAGGCGGTACCCAGGGGCTCACTATCGGCCAAGCAGCTCATGTATGTATGCAATCAGTCTAATTTATTTGTTGCTTTATTACTTTTGAAGGCTGCTAAGCCTATAATTTTTGAAATAGTATTTATAAAGAATGCTGACATTTTCTAATCGATGCCAGCCCTTCTGTGTGTGTACCCAAATGGTAAGTGTATTGATTTATGTTTAAACTGCAAAAGTGCTTTCCAGAACTTTAAAAAGTGGCTTGCTGTGTGACTTGACCAGATCTACTGTAGTGTGCTGTGGTTTGTGTTCAAGGTCTCCAGTTTCATTTATGATAGAGTTTTAAGGTTAGCTGCTATTCCTCTTCTCATCCATCTCAAGCTTTTAATACCAGATACCTTCAAATTAACAAGCTACTTGAGCTTAGCCAAAAATGTCACTGTGTACTACAGTTTCAATTGCTTACAACTGCAGCTAACATCTCCAGATTATTTATATTCTTGACTTCAATATTATTCATGTTGTTTCTTTCCTCTGAATTGTATCCTACTGGATTGTATTACAACATCTCTTACTGAAGTTTGTCTTCTGTAGAAGTGCAAAAAGAGGGCTCCTAGAATTTATCACTCCTTTTATCAGCCATCACACTGCAGTGGTTCCACAGTGCAGAACATGGGAAGAGAGCTGATATGATTTCCCTGGAGAGCTGTGGGGTAGCACCTCACCTCCAAAAGTCTGCTGCTGGTCCTTGTGCATTTTCTGTTGATCCCTCAGGCTACTGGGGTGAAGTTGTGGCAGGTTAACTTTTGTATTCACTTTTCCTTCTGCTGTAGCAACAGAACATGATCCCACAAGGCTTTTATTGCCATCAAAGCCAGCTTGATAAGCTCTCACTTCTGTAACATTCTTTCTGTTCCTTGAAAGACTTCTTTAAAACCCCTGACCACTTCAGGCATCTGGCTCCACACATACTTGCATTAGCTGATTTGAGTGGTGAACTGCAGTGGGGCTGACAGCTGTGGCAGGACAGGAACCTCTGTGGTGGCTCTGCCATGGACATGAGGAACTGCATGGTGACATCCTGCATTTAGAACCTGACTTTTGGGGTTTTGCCTAACCACAGGTCTAAACCCTAGGAAGTAGTAAAGCATGGTTACTTTCTGCTACAGAGTAATAATAGATATCATAAAGATATGGGTTAAAATGGTGCATTAGAGCCAGCTTAGGTACTGTGTCCAAAGACTTGTTTGAGAGATATTGTCTATACCACAGTGGAGGAAATAAACGGTTGTTACAGTTTTGACAGATCTTTGGTGGTCAGGTGCTGGAGTACTGAGTTGGACTGATCTGTTTGAATCACTTGCCATTAATTCTAGGCACTAGCTTTCAAATGTGGCCTCTTGATGTACTGCTGGACATGATATTTGTCTAGGCTTGAAATTCAGACAATTAAGATGTTCTAGTGTAGAAGTATCTAATCAAATTCATTCCTGCTTAGAAAGAACAAGGAATAGGCATTAGATTCTTACCAGAAGAGCCTGAAATGTTTTTCCTGTTGTCTAGTTGAACCATTTTATGCATGAAGAAGTTAAATTGTTTACTTGGGCCCTTCCTTAACCTGTCAGGGTTTCTAAGCCAGGAAACTTTCTTTGTTTTTGGTTTTTTTTACTGTATGATTTGTGCAACTTCCTGGTGCTTAACATAACATGTTTTGGACATCCAGCAATAATGGTATTGAAATTTCCCAGTATTTGGGAAATGTGGATCATAATGAAACCTCTGATAACAGATTAGATCTTGATGAAAGTGCTGATAAAACACATGATTTTGCTTTTGTGTTCTTTGCATAAATAATGAGTATTACACCATCTCAGTTACTGTATTTCATATTTACAGTTGTTGCAATCTTAATGGTGTACATAAAGGACTTGGTACAGCCTTAATTTAGTCCCTGACTTAATCTTATACATATACATAAACCTATACCTAAATAAATCTATGAAGGGAAGGATTTAGTCTGTGTGGAATATAGCATCTGTATTGACTCTTAGCTGGTAAGGTAACCTTTCATCCATTTATGGCATTGACTGTTTTTTTGAATGATTTCATAAATTTATTAGATAGAATAGTGTGTGGTCTTATGAGAATAACAAAAGGTTTTATAGTCATGGAAACATGTAACAGTTTAAATAGAAAATTACTTATTTGAAGCCCAATGCTAGGAAATATATTTCCTATACAGATGCTGAAGATATAAAAAACAGCAAGGTGTTTAAATTGTAAAATGGAGAGGTGAAAATTTAACAGGTGCCTGCTGGTTTAGACTTTTAAAAAGAGTAATTAAGAGAGCAATGATCTCCCTTGATTATAGTCAGCAAGCAAAACAATCTAAAGCATATCCCTGGCACTGTCTAACGCTGCTTGTCCTGATTGAACACTCCCTTGTGTACTATTTTATTTGATTTTATTTCTTTTCTCTATTTTCCTTGTGAAAACATACAGACTAAGGATGGATGTGCAGTCTCCACCTACTGAAAAGCTAGGGGTTTTTTTTAACAGACTTCTTTCATTAATTTCTCCTGAGTTTTTTTATTTATATTTTTGTAATACTTACTTACAAACTCCACTTTTCTGCATTGGCTGCAGCAGCTCTTGTGAAAACATGGTTGTGTTTGTGATGTTTAGGTAGCCTCAAATTTTTATGTAATACCAAGATTTTTTTTCTATGCTCAAAGAGCTTTGTATGTCTGGAAAAAAACTTTGTAAAGGGCTTGTCCATGCATATCCCAGAGTATAAAAACACATATTAGTTAGTTGTAGTCTTTTGTATGACATTGAAATCTGACCAAGTGTTTTGAAGAAAATGGGTTTGATTCCAGTGCCTTCCTGCTGGCATTCAGTGCTCACAAAGGGCTTAAACAGCAGCAGCAGCAGCAACACTAATAATAGTAATAATAATAAAGAATAAAAAATGCACAGTTTTGTGAGACTGCTTTAAATAAAAAAAGCCCACTTTTTCAGAGGACATTGGAAATGAGAAAGTACAGAAATATGTGGGTGGTAGTTTTCTGCACTTGCTGACCTTTGAAGCATGCAGGGGTGGAAGCTTGGTCCTGCAGCGGCACATCAGCTTTCACTGGGAGGAAGGGACTTGCTTGCACCTGGAACTGCAAGACCAGCCCTTGCTGCCCATGGACAGTGGTGCCACATGTCCCACTCTTAAGTCATTCTTTTTATTTGTGGCAGATAGAGGTGGATTTCTGGATTTTTGACCTATTAGTGACTCAGAGTAAGGCCCATATGGAATGATTTTTTTGATGTGATTCTGCAGTATAATTTGTAGAGCTGACTCAGGTTTTATTTCAGGAAGTTCTGCTGGAGAGTGACATTTTGTCCCAAGCAAACTTTTTTTGGGAAATGCCGTTTTCCTGAAGCATTCATAAATCAAAGATGATAATGAGAGGAAATATTCCTCATGAGATGGCACTCCCCTGGACTGCAGATGGGAGAGGTTTGAGTCTTGGTTCTTCACGATCATCTGCTTCATGATAAAGCTGCTCTTATAAAGAATTCAAAGTGCTTGAGGGGAGAGAGAGCAGGGTTGATTTTATAAACCTGAGGTTTGATTTCCCTTGAGGAATGCTCAAATTTCTGCTCTGCCTCTGTCTATTCAGTTTCCCAAGGAATGCCCAACCGTGCCTTTCTTTGCACTGAGCTTGTAAGGGAGCTGTTGTTTCATGAAAATGCTGAAAAATCTTAGTTTCACTGCAGTGAGATAAAGAAACAAATATGAGAATGGTGACACTACAAATAATAGCAAACCCCCCTGAATGAACCCCAAACTTCTGGTCTTGCAGCCGGTGCTGATAATTACATTGCTATCATTAGCACAAGATGATTTGGTATAAAAATATGTCATGGTGTGGCTCTGTGGACTTGGAGCTGCTCCTAGAATACCAGGTTACTGATCCAAAGAGTCACCTCACCCCAAGGAGGAGGAGTGTATGCATTGTACAACTCTTGGTAGAAGTGCCAGTAAAATTCTACATCTGCAAAATCCTGCCCTGTATCTCCTGACCTTTTCTTTCCAAACAAAGACATCTTAGTGTAAATGAGATTCTAGCTTAGCACTGCTCAGTGATGCTTGGGCAGGTGACACTTCTCTGTCAGGTTTCTTTAAGAGCTCCACATAATAGCTGAGGAAAAGGCAGGAACACAGATGACTGATGGAGTGGAAATTGCAGAAATACCCAATGACACATGTTCATTAAATGACACCTCTCTTCATTAAAGTTTCTCTGGTTTCTGCCTTCCCTAGGAAGCTGTGTGGAGACTGGCATAAGAACTTTATCTTCCTCTTGAGTGATCCTGGTGAAGCTCTAAAGCACGTGCTCCTGTTGGCAGATAGGAGCTGACTCAGAACCTGCAGATGAAAAGCTTTCTTTAGGGACTGTGTAGTACTCTGAATGCCTATTGTCACTTATGCATTTATTTCTTAGCATAATTAAGTAGTAGCCCTACCTCAGGACTCAGACATGTCAATTTCTTCTTCATGGGGGAGTCAGAGATAGAAGGTGAAGATTTCTTGTCATTCCACTTGGGGTTGCTCATGGTCATGGAGAAGCACCATGTTAGCAGATTTGCATCATGCGCTTGTCCCCTTTCACAGAAACTCTAATTCCTTTGGTATTTGATACCTTGTGGAGTTTGTAGATAAGAAAGAAGAGCAGAGAATTTTGGCTAGCACATCAAGAACTCAGGATTCTGTGTTGGAGTTCAGGCCAGTAATACTGGTAGTTTGTTCTTTTCCACTTGTTCAATGATTTCTACAGCCAAGTTTGTTGAAACTGAATCTGCTTTCAGACACACTTCAGTGTAATTAATATAAATGCCAGTAAGTGCAGTTGCTTTTCTGTTACATTCTCCTTCCACTTTATTATGGATTGATCTGTTTAGTTTATGGGGACCATAAAGCAAATATGATAGTTTGATTTCATTTATGAGCACGTGGTTTGTTTTCTATATGAGCATTATGGACAGAGCCTTCTGAGGGAGCTCTACT